AGACCTCTCCTGACCCGCTGCTCCCCTCAGCAGTGTACTTCATCGATCTGCCTGTTCTGCTCCCCGCTCTGTCTCTGGTGAAGTCTTTTGCCACCCCTGAGTCTCTGGCCTGTACCCCAGTTCTGTATGCACAAATAATCTTAAAAAAAAAAAAACTTAGAACTACATTTAAAAAAAAAATTAAAATGTGTTATCTTTTGGGACTAACTTGTATGATTACATGCCAACACAAATAAAAACATAAGCTCACACTTTAAAGAAATTCATACACCCCAGCAAGGGCAGGGACTAGTAGTTTAGCCACTCTCTAAGAAATCAGAAAAAAAACCAGTTAATTAGGAAGGGTGGGGAGATTGGACATTCAAAGCATGTGAGAGGAACTAGATTTACTGCTAAAATGAGGCTTTTGGAGATTGATGGAAAGTTTCAAATCCAAGAATATAATTTTTTAAATTAACTTATTAATTATATTCTATTTGCATTGTTGTTCATTTTAAGACAATGTCTACTTCCCCTTTCCTGCAATTCGTCCACACATCATCACCACAGTCCGCCACATTCCTCCCTTCTTCCAATTCCTGTTCCTCCCCTCCACTGTAGGGGACAAAGAAGATGAGGTCTATATACACGATGGAATACTACTCAGCAATGACAAAGGATAAACTCATGTCATGCGCAGCAACATGGATGGAGCTAGAAGGGATCATGCTTAGTGAAATAAGTCAGAAGGGAAAAGAACAAATATCGAATGGTTTTACTTATAGGAAGAATATAAGAGAACCAAATTAGACATGGGGGAAAACTGTATTGCTATTACAATATAAAACACGGGGCCCTCCCTTGTGGCACAATGGGTTAGGACGCAACACTGCAAGCTGGCCACAGCAGCTTTAGTGCGAGTTCAATGCCCGGCCCTGGAGGTGATCCACATGGTGTGGCAGACCCCTCCTGGCCTGCACGCTGCTCCCCTCAACTGTGTACTTTGTCAATCTGCCTGTTTTGCTCCCCACTCTGTCTCTGGTGAATCCTCTCACCACACCTGCACCTCTGGCCTGTACCCCAGTTCTGTATGTATAAATAGATAAAACTTT